CCGGCAGAGCCGGGCACCGTCTGCCCCGCGCCCAGCCTGTTCCCCCCTTGCAGCCAGGCATTTCCTCTGCACTTTTTTTCTCTCCCCCCACGTCCCCGTGCCTGCAAAAAAATAAAATAAAATCGCAGCCAACCCTCCTCCCCCCATCAGTGCCGGGATCGGGCACTCTAGAGCGCGGCGCTTGGACACCGCCCCCCCCCACACACACACACACTAAAATAAAATAAATGAAAGAAGCTAGGAAAGAAAGAGCAAAAAAAAATTTTTTTTTAAGAGAGTGAATGAAAAAGAAAAAGAGGAGAGGAGAGTGCACGCTTGCAAAAGAAAAAAAAGTGCTCAAGGTGATTAAATGAAGAGCGGGCAGGAGCCTCGGCGCGTGGAGGCGAAGCGGAGTTGAGTGGGGCGGGAGAGGCCCCTGCCTCCTGGCTCTTGGTTCTGAAAAGCGGATCCGAGGGGGGGGGTGGAAAATCCACTTAAATGGGACTCGCTCTTTGGGGTGACTTACGTGAAAATTCCCGTTTGCTTAAGTGCTGGGGTTTGCCTTGCTTGCGGCGCGACATGGTGGCTTGTGGTGGCTTCGGTGGCTTGTGAGCCGCTCGGTTCACATCGGGAGAGCCGGGTTAGAAAGGAAGGAGACTCCAGAGAAAATATCTTCATCAATGTCTTTTGACATCCAAAATAAATTAGAAATAATACAAAGATGGCGCAGGGAAGATGAATTGTGGGATAGCAGTCATGGCTTTTTGTGTGTGTGTGTGTATGTGTGTGTGTGTGTGTGTGTGTGTGTGCAAGAGGGGGGAAAAAAGAGAGAGAGAGAGGGAGAGAGAGAGGGAGAGAGAGAGAGAGAGATGAAAAAAATGGCAAAAGCCCCCCTGAGCTGCAAGTTCAAGTGCGGACGTGACGTCCCTGCGAACTTGAACGTCAGGAGCCTGGATGGACAGAGACATACAAAACATGGGCAGGGCAAGCGGGAGAGAGGGGGAGGAGGGAAGGGGAAGGCAACACCAATGGACACTCATCGGGGGCTGGACATGAAAAAGAGAGCAGGACAAGCCAATGGCCAGTGCTCGCAGGGGGGAGAGGGGAGGGGAAGCGGGAGGGGGGCACCAGGCACCGGGCGCACGCTGCCTCGTGGAGCACAAGGGGCCTAGAGCCGCGGGGCTGGGTCGGCCCCGGGAGCAGGGGATGCGGGGCGGGCGGCGTGCATGGAGGGCGGGGGGC